AAAATGTTAAAAAAAGATTGAATTGTGCTGTAGTTTTATAGATATTAATGTTGATAAATATAATTTTTTAGGATTTCATTCCGTCGAGCTCGGAATTTTCTGAAATCCGACATAGCAAAGCTTTCGCTGACAAGACACCTTTTCTCCACGAATGGCTGGCCCAGCGACCAAAACAATGGTACGTAACCGCACCCCCTGGCTTCGGAAAGACCTCCCTGGCGATGATGGCTATCCAATTCCTGAATGCCTCGACCGAAATTATCAAAGGAAAGACAAGACATCATAGCAGGCGTGAGACTGCCGTTTACAGTCTCTTTCAAGGCACGAAAATATTCAGCATGAAAAATTTCTTCAACGAGCACTTCCAGAAACACGCTGTAATTTATATCGACCTAGCCCCTATAAGTTGCACCACGGAAGCTTATTATAGAAACAAACCTATCTTCGATCAGGACTTTCACGAAAAATTCAAGTTGGTGATAAAAAACATGTACAGTTATTACCCATCGCTCCGCTATCATGAGGAGATGAAAGCTTCAGAGGTAAAAAGCTTCGAAAAATACCTCCAGGACGGGATGAATGATGAAGCCACTCCCAGTAAATTCTGGAAGAGCGCGTCGTTTCTCAAAAAACTCTTACAAAAGTGCTTAAAAAAAGACGTCATTGTGATTGTAGATTCTTACGACGCATTATGCAAGCCTTGCATGATTCAGCACAAATCAAAAATACAGATACCTTACGTAGCTTCTTTTATGATAGAGTTCAGTAGAGTGATAATCCTAGACAGAAAGACAACAGTTCTTTATTTAGGAACTTTCAACACCGCAGAGTTAATGCTGGGAGCACCATCTAAATTTAAAAATCCACAAACACAAGTGTACACGATACAACACACGGCCTTTTCTAGCGATGAGCGAATCGCAAAGTATTTTGGACTGACCAAGCAGGAAGTTGCAGATATTTTGACAAAATATTCTATGCCAGATCATCTCAGTTTGGTGAACGACCTTTTGAATGGACACGCAGTTTTGAATTCGTCTTTAACTTTGTTTAACACTGGATCAGTACTCTCATACATTCAGAATCAGAATGCTACGACTAGTGCTTTCACGTCGCCAATTACCTCAGAGATTTTGCAAGTTTATCAGAAACTATTTCTAAATCCACGAATAAGCGAAGTGTTAATGCAATGCATATTCCAAAATGAAGCAGAGGTCATGATTTCACCCCAAGTTCAATTGTGTTTTGAGAGCTTTTTAAGATTCAAATATTTACTTCATAATAATAAGGCATCCATCAACAAAACTGCCAAGTCGGAAGATATTCTGACTTCCATCAGAATTTTTCAGTTCTTGGGGTTAATATCGATTACCGAAGAAAGGGCTGATCTTTGCGTTTACAGGGTGTCAAGTCACACTGATGCTGAGCTCATTAATAGTTATTTGTCTAAAAGTGGGAGCGTCCAGCGATATTTTGGAATTAGCATACAGGATGATATCCGAATGACTGCTGCGGTAAGAAGTCTAGCGCCGAACAATGATTCTCTTCAGAGTTTTGGCAAAGCCATTCATAATATTGTGAAAGTAAAAGCTCCAAAGGCTGAGTATCAGCTGAAAGCTTTAATGTATGTATATTCGAGGAAAGTTGCAACTTATTACAGCAAAGACTTTGCGATGGAAGCTGGCATTACAATTCTCACTGGGAATAATTCACAATTAAACGAGTATGGCAATCCTGGCGTTGATGAGAAGATTGACATAATTCTGGTGCTAAAAAATAAAGAAATAGGAGTCATTCTAAAATCCAAGTTTAATAAAAATGCTACTGCTGTTTTGAAAGAAATGACGGATAATAAATATCTTGACATATTTGACTCAGATTCTCGCTTTTCAAAGCTCAAGATTAAAAGTAAAATGCTGATTGGAATCTCCGTATCGCAAAATAAATCGGTGGAAATTGCGTCAGAAGTGCGGCATCAGAATGAAAAAATAATTTTGAAACAAGTTACATTGAATAACGCAAGTCCCCAATGAAGTCTATTTTAAAAATGAATCCCTTTAAATTGTATTGAAAAGACTGTGCTACTATTTCCTTTTTTTAACACCAGGCTATTTTTGCTGGGAACCTTTTAAATCTTGCACGAATGAAAATCTGAATGAAATGAAAATAAACACATTTTTCATTTACAAATCTTGGTGTTTTTACCTCTAAACCGAAAGTTATCCTTCTCCCAATGAGCATTTATGTTGCACGGGTAACACGGTAAAATACAATGCGAATATGGAGAGAGAGCCGGTTCTAGTTTTTTTATTTTTTGTAAAATAGAGACTGTAATGTACTACACAGCTTGCAACTTGGGAATATGCATAAATCATATAAACTCAATCTTAGATGAATTTTCGGGCCACACTCGGAATCTAAAATGGGCGAGGAAAGTGGTGAGGTCTGAAAAAATACATTTATACTGAAAGGTCTTAAGCCTCCTAAATTTTCATTTCTGGTAGCGCTTAGTTATAGCGTTTTACGAGACCGATTTTTATGATTTTCGCGTCTATCGAAAGGTGATTATCTCTCGATGATAGATTTGTTTATTACGTGGTAAAGTTGCGAATTTTTCCATTTAAACATTTTAAGTTTCATTTTATCACATGTCGTTCCAGCGTTCTACGGAGCCGATTTCCATTATGTGTTTGGCCATTGACAGTTGATAGTTCTTAGATGAGCCCGCTCTATACAGAGGCGGATCTCGCAATTTGGCAACATCGGATTTTCTCCATTTAAATCAATGTAAAACGATCGATTCTTTGCGGAGCACCTGGCCCCTCCAAGAATCGATACATTGCCATAGGTTTAAAAGGAGAAAAACGGTGTTGCCAATTTGCTGGATCCGCCGATTATTTTGGAAATATGACCCAGGTTTCTTACAGAAGGGTGGATTGGGGACCTAAGCAGGAGAAGCGACAGAACACAGAAGAGAATTTCATGAGCCACCCTGCGCCGTCCACAGCACGCATGGCGCACGATCCACGACACGCCTTTCATTATTACACTCCTTCTAGCGTTGACAGTTCACTAATTATTGCACACTACGAGTGTGTAATTTTAAAAGTCGAAAATTACAAAAAAAAATTATACGAATTACATGTTTTTCGCCAGGGATCTCTCCCTGCTAGACATTGTTCACCACCCGCCCGCCGGGTGCGCCGCGGAGCGCTGCCAGCGTGAAACCCGCACTGACGCCTACAAACCTAACAGGGATACTTCACGCATTGCGCATTGCTTGAAGTATCCCGTTAGGTTTGTAGGCGTTTCGAGCTGGCAGCGCGCCGCGTCGCAGCGTGCCATAAACTTGCCCACGGCAACTCCGCTCCCGGCGGGCGGGTGGTGGACGATTTCTAGCGGGAAGAGCTCCCTGGCAGAAAAACTTGTAATTCGTATAATTAATAGGTCAGGGTGTTAAAATCTTGGCAATTTGACATCAAATTCGAAGTTAGCGACTTAAAAATTATTAGCGGCGAAACTTTCGTGATTTTCCAGTCACTATCCAACCTATTTCTTTCTATTCTCGAGTTTTGGACAATACTAGTGCAACGACCGTTTCAGAAGAAATGGAAAATCGTAGAAATGTTGACGACTTTGAATCAGATTCTCGCTTTTCAAAACTCGAAATCACGAGTAAGATTCTAATTGGTATTTCTGTACAATTATTGGATGAATCAGTGGATATTGCGGCAGAAGCACGGCACGAGGACGAAAAGACGAACTTGAAGTACGTCGTTATTAATAATGCAAGTTTACTATAATGTGAAATAATGAGATTAATCCTTGCAAGAATTTAGAGATCTTTCCCAGAGGAAACTTTTGTGCTCATACTTACATCTCCTCGTTAATTTTATCCGTCCCTGAAAATTGACATGGAGTTTTTATAAAGAAACGGCCTAATGTATTCCACGAATTCTGAAGCTCGTGATCTGATGACAGCGATAGCTTCTTCTATTCTCGGACAGGGAGAGGGCATGGGAGTTAAAGAACATGCAGAATTTTAATTTCACGAGTCTAGCGAAATAAATTCGCGGAAAACCGCATAAATGTTAAGAATGAAAATTCAGTTTAGTTCTCTTCGATTTTTTCAGTTTCAAACAGTAATGTAGACATAAATCCCGACTTTAAGGGTATACGTCATTCATCTTAGAGGTCACCTGAAGAGCTGGAGATTTTAAATGTCGGATTATTAACGTCAATTATTGCTCCCTTAAAATTGTTTTTTTCTGGAACTGCTACATCCATTTTTCAACCGAGAATGACGAGATGGGTCAATTTTACCCCCACCCCTTCCCTCCGTGTTCCTGCTCCCACCCCCTACCACCCATTTCCTGTTTTTGTGCAGAGGATAGGTGGCGTTAGACTTGAAGAAACAGATATTTTTCATGCTTTTGACTTCGATCAAATCATTTCAAAATGTTCATATTAAAGCAGGAGTCCAGTTACAACATTCGCCTAAGAAAACAGTGGCTCAAAGATAAAAAAATTTAAATTTCTTATGGTCAGTTTACTTTTTCAGCCCTCAAAAAATCCTGATTTAGTGTGACCTAAAATAACCAAGAAAAAAACTTGACATACGAGAGACACCCTGTATTATTAGACGTGTAGATAAAATGTCCGAATTAGACGTAATGAATACGCAACCTTATCGAAATCCGTTGAATTGATTGTTCCTTCTCGTCATGCAGCAGGAGGGTTACCGGCAGTTTCGTTGTATGTGCGCCAACTGCTCCACATTTCTGTTTATGTGCTTTATTTTCATTAGTTTTTATTGAAAGGCAAATGCACAAGTTATTGTATGCCATTTTACTTAATTGGTTTTTTTTTCCGATGGAAGACATTGAGACATTATTTCTTTTGAGGCAAATCAATTAAGGTGGATTCTGGGCTTAAAAGAATATATTATGAGTGCGATCAATAGATTTCAAATTTAAAGAATCAGGGGCATTATTTTTAAATAATCGGTATCTCAGTCCCTTGATCAATCACTAGGAAACATTTATTCCTAAAATTGGCTTTCAGAACCTTAAAACATGACCATAAGTCTGATTTTCACTGACTAGTAATATCTATACATCGAAATCGATCATACAATGGTGGTAGTAAATACTATGAAACTTATTTTGTGGTTCTAAAAGCTCATTTTTTATAAGCTACCTTCGTAATAATTGGTCCATGAACTGAGTGTTTATTTGTTGTCTTGTTTTTACTTTTCTTTTTAATTTACATGCCGATAGAGGCTGAAATCTGCAATTGAAAGAGCTGGAGGCATTTTGCTGAACTAAAAGTTGGGGATTCACCTTAATCACGTATGCAAAAGAATTGAGCAAAAATCACCCTTACAAATGCATTACTCTGATCCAGCGTCTTGAATGAAACAAATTTGGCAAATAACACGGATTTACATTAATAAATATGCTCCTCCTGTTGAGTTAAAATTTACCGGATGTTTTCCACGGAAATTGATGAAGTAACATTAAGGAATTAAAAACTGTTTTTCCCGCTGATAAATATGCCTAATCATCAATTATAAAGGAATACAGATAAAGTTTTTGACTCTTGTGTAAAGTACCAGTACCTCACAACAATTATCGTAGAATTAAAGTACTTGTAGGGTTATATTATACTTTATGATGATAGGTACATGTAATGAAGTTATCGTGCCGAAATTGGTATTGTTCTTTCCAATGCTTATGTATTCAACTACTTATCGATGCAAGAAAAAACACTGAAAAATATAGTTTGGCCTGTTTGTAAAAGGTGGTTAAATAGTGCTGGGTCTACATGTTTTTGCGAGGAGAGCAAGACCAAAAATTTCAACAATTCCTATTGGTGTAAAAAATTTGGTGTAATGATCATCAATACCTACAAGACTGAAAAGATGGAGGGTGTTTGGCTCAGACAGATGTATTGGAACCAAGGTGGACTCAGCAATATTTTACCACCTTACTTCTTATATAAGCATTCGATATTTTATCTATATTTTTTACAGTGCATATCTACACTTTTTTGAGCAATAATCATGAAGCAAGAAGCGGCTTCATTGATGTTCGTTTTTGCGACTGTCCAACTTTTTCTCTGCATATGTGCAAAAAGAGAGAGGGATTTAGTAGATGATTGGGATTATTTTAAGAATGTCCGACTCCGCGAGTCGGTCTGGCCCAGGGTGACCGGGAAAAACACCGAACTACATATCAGCTCAACTTCAAAGTCCCGCACTACGGACGATCGAGAAGTTCAGACGATGCATCATCCCTCCGTTGAGTACTTTTTTATTTAAGCATTACTTTACCATCTTTTGAAAATAAAGAAGGCTGTACGTGCGTCTAAGGGAATCGAGACCTTAGCGAGTGGATGTTATTTTCAGAAGCAATACTTGGATTAATTTTGGTCAAAATTTTTATTTAAAACGATAACCTATCTAATATTTGAAAGAAAAAGTTACGGGAAGTTTGATTTATTCCTTTGTCATTAAATGACTTTAATTTACATTTATATTCTAAGAATCAAGCTCTAAATATGTCATTTTAAAACTTAATTGATTTGTTTTTTTGAATTAAAACTTCAAATTTTTCAAAATTTAAACAGTAAAATTGTCAAAAATGATGAAAATGTTGTTATGTTATAGATAGTAATGTTGATAAATATAATTTTTTTAGGATTTCGTTCCATCAAGCTCAGAATTTTCTGAAATCCGACGTAGCAAAGCTTTCGTTGACAAGACGTTTTTTCTCCACGAATGGCTGACTCAGCGACCAAAACAATGGTACGTGACCGCACCCCCTGGCTTCGGAAAGTCCTCCCTGGCGAAGATGGCTGTCCAATTCCTGAATGCCTCGACAGAAGTTATCAACGGGAGGACAAGGTTCCACAGCTGGCGCGAGACAGCCGCTTACAGTCTCTTTGAAGGCACGGAAATATTCGGAATGAAAAAATTCTTCCAAGAGCACTTCCAGAACTACGCTGTCATTTACATAGATCTAAGCCCTCTTAGTTGCACGACAGAAGCTTTTTATAAAAATAAACCTATCTTCAATCAAGACTTTCACCAAAGATTTAAGATGGTAATAAAGGAAATGATGAGCTATTACCCATCACTCCTTTCTCACGAGGACATGAATGCTGCAGAGTTAATGAGCTTCAAAAAATACCTCGAAGAAGGGATGAACGATGCAGTCACTCCCAGTAAATTCTGGAAGAGCGCATCATTTCTGAAGAAACTCTTACGAAAATGCATAAAGAAACCCGTCATAGTGATTGTAGACTCTTACGATGCATTGTGCAAACCTTGCATGATTCAGGATAAAGCGAAAGTACAGAGAACCTACGTAGGTTCATTTATAATTGAGTTCAGTAGAATGATCCTCTTGGACGGGAGGACGCAAGCTCTTTATTTAGGAACTTTCAACACCGAAGAGTTAATGCTGATAAAACCATCTGAATTTAAAAATTCGCCAAGAAAAATGCACCAGATTCAACATACTGCCTTTTCGAGCGATGAGCGAATCGCAAAGTATTTTGGACTGTCAGAGAAGGAAGTTGCAAACATATTGGGGAAATATTCGATGCAAGACCACCTCAGTTTAGTGAACGACCTCTTGAATGGACATGCAGTTTTAAATTCGTCTGTGACTTTGTTCAACACTAGATCTGTACTTTCCTACATGGAGAATCGGAATACTACATCCAGTGCTTTGACTTTGCCATTTACCACTGAAATTTTGCATGCTTTTGAGAAACTATTCTTAAATACATGGATCAGCGACGTGTTAACCCAGTGTATATTCAGGGAGGAAGCTGAGATCTTGATATCACCCCAAGTTTTGCTAAATTTTGAAAGCTTTTCAAGGCTGAAATATTTACTTGAAAATAGTAAGGCATCCGTTAAAGAAACGGCTAAGTCGGTTGATGTTCTAACGTCCATCAAAATTTTCCAGTTCCTGGGGTTAATATCGGTTACTGAAGAAAGAGGTGATCTTTGCGTTTACAGAGTGTCAAGTCGCACTGACGCTGAGCTTATGAATGGTTATCTGTGTAAAAGCGGGAGTGTCCAGAGATTTTTTGGAATTAGCCCACAGAATGAAATGACAATGATTAGTGCGGTAAGAGGTCTAGCTCCGAACAATGATTCTCTTCAGCGTTTTGGCGAAGCCGTTTATAACATTGTGAAAGTGAAAGCTCCAGACGCTGAGTATCAGCTGAAAGCTTTACTGTATGTATATTCAAGAAAAGTTGCAACGTATCACAGTGACGACTTTGAGATGGAAGCTGGGATTACATCCCTTACTGGGAAACTTCCACACTTAAACGAGGATGGTACACCTGGCGCTAAAGAGAAGATTGACATAATTATGGTACTAAAAAGTAAGGGAATAGGAATCATTCTAGCATCCAAATTTAATAAAAGTGCAACTTCTGTATTGAAAAAAATGACGGAACACAAATATCTGGACGTTTTTGACTCTGATTCTCGCTTTTCAAAGCTTGAAATTAAAAGTAAAATGATGATTGGAATCTCCGTATCGCAAAATAAATCAGTGGAAATTGCGGCAGAAGCGTGGCATCAGAATGACAAAATCGTTTTAAAGCAAATTGTATTTAATGGCGCCAGTTCCGCATGATATCTATTTTAAAGATAGATTCCTTTAAAAATTCTTCAAAAAACACGAGTGTGCCTTTATTTACTTTTTTACTTGTTAGGCGATCTTTGCTTCCGACCATCTACTCTTGCAGAGACAAAGATCTGAATAAAATGACAATAAACACATTTTTCTTTCACAAATTTTTGTGTTATTACTTGTCAGCAAAAACCATTCTTCTCCCAATGAGCAGTGACGTTGCATAGGTAACACGGTAAAATTCAATGCGAATATGCAATGCAAAAACGGTTTTAGTCTTTTCATTTGTTGTAAAATAGAGAGGGTGATATATTACACAGCTTGCAACTTGGAAATATGTATAGATCATAAAAACTCACAACTTTCTTGTTTGTTCAGGCAATCTCAGACGGATTCTAGGCTTTTACTCAGAATCTAAAATTGGCGTGGGATTGTCAAAAGGGCAAAAAAAAGTATTGAATTGTATTTCTGGTAACACTTAGTTCTAGCGTTCTGCGGGACTGACTTTCATTACTTTTCTCAACCATCGACATTTGATAGTTCTTAGATAAGCCCTCTAAATTCAGATTTTGGAAATTCCGAACCGGGATTTTCATAATAGACAGGACTAAGGAACTAAGCAAGGCAAGGGGCAATAAGAAAAAGTTGAAATTCCCGCCAAAGAAAAGGGCGGGAATTTCAAATGCGGCGGTAAATTGAACCAAGCGAAAGATGTTAAATCTTGGTTTGGAGAAACCCTAATTTTCGGAAAATCACCCCCAACCCTCCTTTTTGGCTGCGCTTTGTGTCTTCAAGATCTGGAGGCTCGGATTCCTCAGGTCAATTTCATATTTCTAGAATCGTCCATCCCCAAAAATTTTTCGTCATTTAATGACCAAAGATGAAGAGAAGAGTGGTTTCGATCCCAAATTTCAAATTCTTGCGGACATTCTTGTTCAGCTCCTTAAAACTCTTGCATTTTTGAGATTTTAAATAACCAAGAAAAAACTTGAGTTATGAGATACCCTGTATGAGATGGAACGTACTCATTGGACATCACCATCTCTTTTATCAGTTCCCATCGAATTGATAACAGTTCAATTATTCACTCTTGGCATGCAGCAAAAGGGTTGCTAGTAGTTTAGTCGTGGGAGTATGACAGACACACCTCTGTTTACATTCGTTATCTTCTTCAATTTTGCTTCAATCGCGTTTTTACAATTGTAAGTATTTCTTTTCAATTTCAATTCCAATTTCAATTTCAATTTCAATTTCAATTTCAATTTCAATTTCAATTTTAATTTTTTTTTTTTTGTTTTTTTTTTGAAAAATTAACTCAACAAAGTCAAGTGTGAACAAAAGTTACGCTCGAGAAAATTGCATGCTGATCTGGCATATTGACAGTCTAGAATGTAACTTATAACACTGACGTTAACTATGCTTTCACTGTGAAGTTTACATTCAAAACGTGTAAATTTACCTACGGAAACGGGTAGAACAACATTTAGGAATAAGTCAACATAAATCACAACATTTAATTCACCCTCAAATGCTAGATCATAATCTTAATAACAAATCATACCTATGTTCATTATGAGGGTTTTTTGGGGGGGGGGGGCACAAGGCACAGAAAATCCTACAAACCATTGAATAAAGTAAACCCTCGCCCCCCCCTAGTGTTTTATTATCTCATGATAATATTTATACTGCTGATATAGGCTTTTTCATTCTGACTTTCTAACATTTTTTTTTTTAGTTATTTATTTGAGTATCTGATATTTTATCCCCATTTTCTTTGAACTAGGACTTTTTTCTAAGACTACTTATTGGGCACCAAAGTAACAATCAAAATAGGCATGAATCACGTGGTACTAATGCTGTTCGTTTTTGTGGAAGATCAAATTTTTCCTCTCGTAAATGCAAATTGGGCAGACGAGCAAGTAAGGAACGTAGTTGATAATTGGGACTCCAACAATGTCAGACTTCGAGAACCGTTCTGGCCTGGGGCAATCGCAAAAAACACCAAATCAAGCACAACTTTAATACCTCACACTACAGATGAAGGTGAAATTCAGACGGAGCATCATCCATTTGTTGAGTACTGCTTTACTTTCATTATTTCATTCCATTTTGAGACTAATAAAAGCTGCACGCGACCGTCTAAGGAGGAAGGAAACATACCACACGGAGTGATTTTTTTCAGAAGCGCATTTTTCAAGTTAAAGCTAGGGGGAGGAATCAGAATTTTGAATTCCCTGGGAAAATCTCCTTCATCTCCAGAAATTAGTAACGAGTAGATTTGTTCACTCCTTTGGCCATACAGAGAGTGCGTCTACTTTTGAATCCATAACCTTTCAGCCCAGATTTGTGTCATGTTTATGGCAAACTTGACATTTTTTTTATTTATTTATTTATCTTTATTTTTATTTTTTCTTTAAATGAAAACATCAAACTACCAAATGTCTAGTCTGCCGTACGAAGGGGAAATGCCGTATGAGCAATCAAATGCTGCCAAATTTTTCAGAGGGTTTTTATCTGAAGAAAGTTGTGAATATTTTTCTTTGACATTATCTGACAATTTTGATCAAATTACGGACAAAATTCTCTGAAAAATTCTCTGAAAAATACTTACGAATTTTCCCGAAAATTTGTGATTTGTCAAAGGACATTTTACAACGGCTGAGGGTTCATACATCGTTATTCCATAGCACGGCAGCAGTGTGAATTGAAATTTTTCGGCATTATTACAAGTACGCCTACGTTTACAAAACGCTCTACTACGAGAAAAGGCACTAACATTTCAATTTTCTGTTTTAGTCGCTTCGGTTCTCTTCCTTTGAATGATAGCACGCGTGATAGAAATCTGCCTCTCCCGGAGAGTGACATAATTATTTTAAGCAATCATGGCCTTGTTGCTTATTCTTACAGCTGCCTTGATAGAATAGATGGAAAAAAAAGATGGGCTGCGTTATGCGTCTGTCAGTGGAAATTAATTGACAGTGACTGTATGACCACGCATCTAGATTAATATGTATTTGAACTTCCACTATTCTTTCATTACGAGCTTAAAATTAATAAAAAATCCACCTGTAAATGGACGTATTTATGCCAAAAAGAGCTATGTCTCACACAAACCCTATGCAGATAGTTCCTTTTAGCATAAATACATCCAAATATGACTTGTGGAAACACAATTTTTAGCTCATATAGATATAGAAAACCACCGAGAAAAAACCATTATTATCAAAATATAATTTGGCTAGAAATTAGCAACATTGCGTTGCTAATCAAGATATTTCATAGACTCATCGCAACATTTTTCAATTATCATAATTTAAATTCTGCGTTTTGAATATTATACAACCATATAGCGCAATAATTGAAAGAAAACTTTTTGAAAGAGACCACGTCGTTTCGCAGAGTCTGAAATATTAAAAGTCAACATTCTAATTTTTCAGGTTTTCGTGCCGTCAAACTCAGACTTTGCCGAAATTAGACACAGCAAAGCCTTCGTCGACAAGACACTTTTCCTCCACGAATGGCTGACTCAGCGACCGAACCAGTGGTACGTGACCGCACCTCCTGGCTTTGGAAAATCCTCTTTGGCAAATATGGCAGTCCAGTTCCTAAACGCCTCATTCAAAATTGTCAGCGGAAAGACGAGATTCTATAGCTGGCGCGATACTGCCGCTTTCAGTCTCTTTCAAGGCACGAAAATATCCAGCATGAAAAGTTTTTTTAAAGAGCACTTTCAGAACTACGCTGTAATTTATCTAGATCTAGCCCCTCTAAGTTGCACCACGGAAGCTTTTTATGCAAAGAAACCCACCTTCAATCAAGACTTTCATGAGAAATTTAAGATAGTCATAAAGAATATGATGAGCTATTATCCAACACTCCACCTCCACGAAGACATGCCAGCTTCAGAAATAATGAGCTTCAAAAGATACCTTCAGGAAGGGATGGATGAAGATGTCAGCCCCAGCAAATTCTGGAAAAGCACATCATTCCTGAAGAAACTCATTCGAAAATTCTTAAAAAAAGACGTCATTGTAATTGTAGACTCTTATGATGCCTTATGCAAGCCTTGCATGATTCAGGATGTTTCAAAAGTACAAAGACCGTACGTAGGTTCGTTCATGATAGAATTCGGTAAAATGATCATCCAAGACGGAAAGACAAGGGTTCTTTATTTGGGAACCTTCAACACTGCGGAGTTGATGCTGAAAAAACCGAATGAATTAAGAACTCCACAATCACCAATGTACATGATTCAACACACGGCCTTTTCCAGTGATGAGCAAGTCGCAAAGTATTTTGGACTGTCTACCCGGGAGGTTGCAGATATTTTGGCGAAATATTCTATGCAAGATCATCTCAGTTTGGTGAACGACCTCTTGAATGGACACGCAGTTTTGAATTCGTCTTTAACTTTGCTCAACACTAGATCTGTGCTCTCGTATATCAAAAATCGGAACGTTACACCCAGTGCTTTGACCTCACCATTTACCGCAGAGATTTTACGCACCTTTGAGAAACTATTCCTAAATACATGGATCAGCGATGTGTTGAGTCAGTGTATATTTCAAGGTAAAGCTGAGGTCATGATTTCATCTCAAACGTTGCTACTTTTCGGAAGCTTCTTAAGATTAAAACATTTACTGGAGAATAGTCAAGCTGTTGTTAAAGAAACCGCCAAGTCGGAGGATATTCTAACATCCATCAGAATTTTACAGTTTCTGGGGTTAATATCGATCACTGAAGAAAGGACTGATTTTTGCGTTTACAGGGTGTCAAGTCGCACTGATGCTGAGCTTATGAATGGTTATCTGTGTAATAGTGGGATCGTCCAGCGAGATTTTGGAATCAGCCCACAAGATGATATCGCAATGACTGCTGCTGTAAGAGGTCTAGCGCCGAACAATGATTCTATTCAGTGTTTTGGCAAAGCCATTTATAATATTGTCAAAGTGAAACCTCCGAAGGCTGAGTATCAGCTGAAATCTCTAATTTATGTATATTCAAGGAAAGTTGAAACTTATTACGGAGAAGACTTTGCGATGGAAGCTGGCATCACAACCCTCACTGGGAATGATTTAAAATTAAACGAGGATGGCAAACTTGGCAATAAAGAGAAGATTGACATAATACTGGTGCTGAAAAATAAGTCATTAGGAATCATTCTTACATCCATACTTAATAAAAATGCAACTTTTGTAATGAAAAAAATGATGGACCACAAATATCTTGACGTATTTGACTCAGATTCTCGCTTTTCAAAGCTGAAAATCAAGAATAAGCTGCTGATTGGAATCTCCGTATCGGAAAATAAATCAGTGGAAATTTCGTCAGAAATGTGGCATCAGAATGAAAAAATAATTTTAAAACAAGTTATATTGAATAGCGCAAGTTCCCTATGATATCTACTTTAAAGATAAATTCCTTTATAATTGCCTTTAAAGACACGTATGTGCCTTTAGTTACTTGTTTTACACGTTAGGCTATCTTTGCTTCCGACTATCTAGTCTTGCTTGACGAGATTCTGAATTTAAATGACAATAAATATTTTTATTTTACAACTTTTGGTCTTATTATGCTTCTAAATAACCCCTTCGCACTCACTAACAGTCACACCGTTTATAAATAGAGAGAGGGTAATTTATGATACATGCATATTTTTATTGCGGATTTTCGGCCAAATTTTTGCTCAGGGGCACGACATGAGTATCCCCCCTTCCCCCCACAGAAAAACATACAATTTTTGTTTCCACAAAACTAAAATATGGTATGTTGCATGCAAAAGCTACAACCAAGTAATAAAGCTTTATTCGAGGGAAAATCGCACAATATTTATACATGGGCACATTAAACAAGTCCGAAACCCACTGCTTAGGTCGTAATCAGCGTAGTTTTAACACTTTTTTTCAAATTTTCCACGTCCGCGGGAAATACTTCTTGGTCACCGCCGATCAGATTTGCCCTGAGAGGGAGGCAAGAATTTAACCTAACCTAAGTAAGCAGACAATTTCACGAACTGTTACAAAATTTCTTTTTGTATTGATGTAAACATTTTGATTTTGAAAAACAAATAAATATGACGGGGAAAATGCTTCAGTGCAATTGAAATTAAACGCGAGAAAAAAGTTTCCATGATTGTTTATTTTTATAGGTTAAGTTTATTTATGTCTCTTAAGGTGCGTTCACACGGCTTGCCAAGCTGCATACGTCAGACTGCCTGACCCTGAAGTGCAGCTTGACGGACCACCAAGCGCTCCCTGACAGCTCTGCAGAGCTTGTGTGGCCATGGACCAAGCAAATACATATTTTTATTCTGTGAAAACATTTTTAAAAATCTACTTCTAACAGGGCCGGGTTTACCTACTTGCCGCCCATGGGCCGCCTGTATTTTGCCGCCTCCTTCTCATTCGTATTGAAACATCAATAAAAACCATCAAGTGAACGTGCCAGCGAGGGAGGGGTGCATAAGACGCGTTTACTCGTGTTGAACACATGTTTTGGGAATGCCCTGTCAACACTATATTAGCAAAAGTTAAGTTTTGTAAACCTATCTCTGTGTGGACAAGGCCTTTCATTCATAAGAAATGAACAAAAAAATATTATGAAAGAACAAACATGAATGTCGTTTAATGATTTTAACTTCCGCCGCCGCGCTGCGCCGACCGCACCGTGTTTGGCGCAATGCGTGAAGTTTTCACGCAGTCTTATAGGCGCTATGCGTTTCACGCTGACCGCACTGTGTTTGGCGCAATGCGTGAAATATTCATGCATTCTTGTAGGCGCTATCCGTTTCACGCTGACCACAATAACCGCACTGTGTTTGATGCAATGCGTGAAGTATTCGTGCAGTCTTGTAGGCACTAATATGTGTTACATGCCGATCGCCGCGCCGAGGGCTTCTCCTTTTCATCTCGAGTCCTCGTCTTCATTGCTCTCTGCGTCGCGCCGTTCCAGGCCAAGTTGCGTGTTTGGTTTCTCTCTTAACTCGATTACTTAAAGGTGCTGTTTCTTGTATCACTGAAAGACGACAAAATTGAAAATTACTATACTCTCAGGAAATGAGAGATTTTGTCGCCTTTTCTCGCTTGTAATTTTTTTTGTCTAAATCCGATATTTTTTTATACCTACTTTTAAAAAAATTGCAAAATTTGCCGCCCTCTAGATTTGCCGCCATGGGCCGCGGCCCATGTGGCCACCCCCTTAATCCGGCCCTGACTTCTAAAATTTCGTTTTCTTGGTCCATGTTTTGGCCGTGAGCAGGTCGTTCGCCTGCAGGTCAGGCGGTCTGACGAACAGCAGCGAGCTGTGTGAACGTGCCCTGTGGGCATCCTTGGCCGACAGTGACTTTATATCAGCAAAACTGTCTGCGAACGCGGGAAGTTTGAATAACTGTGTTAAAAACTTCGCAAGTTATGCGCTGAAAAGTGGATTTTACACATTTTTGATGAACTTATTGCGTTTTTCGTCTGAATTCAATCAAAGATCTCTTGCGTGCACCAGACCTAATTACGTTGTTAGTATTAGGCAAGTTATAGTTTCTTTCAAATTTTTAATGTTATGCAGCTTTTTTTCGCGAATTTTGATTGAGTTTCGCCTCATAGTGATATGGATAGTGATCAAATCAAATTTTAAAATTAAAGAAAAGGGAAAATGGTAACATTTTTTTCTTTGAAACGCTGAAATTGTAATTCTACAAGAAATTCTGATGAAATGAAATAATTGAATAATTCATTCAAATTCAAAACCAAAAAATATACACATAACTTACCATCAAAGATGCATAAATCTTTGCAGGACTATGATATCAGGCACGATCTTGCTTCATTCACGCACAGTAATTTTTATCACTCCCAGAGTGCGTATAAAGTTACATCAGTTGCAACTGAGTTGATAAGAAATCAAAGGTTTGTTATTAGAGAAGACCAGCGTGTCGGCAATATGTTGAGACAAAGAATACACCACTTTTCCAGACGGATCTATTTCTTCCTTCGGGATTTCTAACTACGCGCATCTAAAATAGTGAGTAACTACGGTACATACTATAGTCATAATACAGTAAATATTATCTTTCTGTGTGGCCTCTGAATGAAATAGTGAAAATCATTACTCAGCTCAGAAACTCAATCACAAGTCAGAATCTGTGTAAATATTTTTATAGAAATTCAAAATATCAACCTCATACTAATCATCTTAAGTATCCAAAATACAGTTGGTTTCTCTAAAATATAATGTTCCTACCCCTGCTCTTTGTTTTATACTGAGATGTTAATATGACGCGAGATGGTCTAATCAACCATTAAAACCATCAAGGTGCTGTGTTTACATTGCGAAATTAAAATCTAACCTCTAGATTACCTTCTATGATCTATTCACTGATTTTATTAGTTTGACTATAATTATTGCAACCATCTCGTTTCTCGTTACCAAGTAGCTCAAATAATACCAATGAATATTATAGGTCTCTCAGTTTTAAGAATAGAATTTTAAGCCAAATTTCCAGTATTTAACTGCTCATCAATTTGAAAAACTACCGAGCATCCGTCTAATGTATGCGATAAAAACAAAATTTACTCTGTCATTTCATGAAAACATGTTTTTTTAAGGCACATGTCTCTCTAATATTTCTGTTATTTGCTCCTCAAACATCAATCTTAGTCCACAGATCGAATAATTTTTCCAATGGGGCGTAACATGTAAGCCATTAAATGATACAATTTTGGGTCATATTTTGGTTGTAAAAATTGGTATTTCTCCCTTGGTTTTCTTTCCATTCATTTTAACTATTCGCTTCTTTTCATTTTGTCCTAACAGTTTCATCCCGTCATAAAAATGACTGCTAAATCAGGCATAAATCAGGTTGTACTATTTTTGACCGTTATCATGATTGACCAAATTTATGGTGCCGCACGTGCAACCGTTGTGGAGGAAAATCAAACGCACCACTCAGAAGAAATAGATCCGAGTGTCGTCTCAAATCCTGAATCATCGAATAAAATCAGATTTTCAACGGAACATCACCCTCAGGTTCAGTAATTTTAGTTCCCAAACTTTTTATCTTGTTTTAAATTGCTAAGAAATAAGTCAGGAGAAAAATTAGATTTAAAATAGCCAAAGACAAAATATTCCTAATACAGGACTCGCAAGTCAATATCTTTTTACAAAGCCTAAATTTTTATCACGTAGCATATATCATGTGTCCGCTCAATGACAGGTGAGCTGCAAAATTTTCTGGGAAAATAAGAAAAAACCCGGTAAAAGTTCCTCGGAAAACTCCTCAATTGACACGAGTCAGTCATCATCATTGAGATGTAAAAGAAAAATGCCAAGGTATGAATTTGAGGAAAAAAAACACTGTAGAAAGTAATGACTATTGCGATGTTAAATGGAATCCTCTGAGATCAGCTAATTTTGAGGAGTAAAAAAAGGAGGATTTACAAAGCTGCGGTCAAAATTATTTCACATAACGTACGGATGTGAAGTTTGGAAGTTAAAGAAACGGACACTAGATGTGCTAAGAGTAACGGAAATTGATTTTTGGAGAAGGTAGGGAGGAATTTTCAGGAAAGATCGGGTCCAAAATGATAGAGTGCGTCAGGTCATGAAAGTCGAAAAGGACATCGTGTTCGAAGGTGGCGACAGGGGGTCTTGAATGAAATAAGGGAGTGTCAACTCCCTGACGGGTTGTGAGTAGATCGCGTCGCAGAGCGCCAGAGAGTGCTCTGAAAGCAACTCTAATGTATATATAAATTTTAACCAACATCAATGCATTTTTTCAGGCTCTCGTCCCACCAAGCACGGATTTTTCCGAAGTCCGGAACAGCAAAGCCTTCGTTGACAAGACATTTTTCCTCTACGAATGGCTTACACACCGACCGAAGCACTGGTATGTCACAGCACCTCCCGGTTTTGGCAAAACCACCTTAGCAAAAATGGCTGTCCAATTCCTGAACGCATCCTTCGAAATTGTGAACGGGACAGCAAAGTTCCATGACAAGCACAAGACAGCCACCTACGAGCTCTTTAAAGGCACGAACATCTTTGAGATAAAAGAGTTCTTTGACGAGCACTTCCAGAACTACGCTGTTGTGTATGTCGACCTAGCTCCTCTGAGCTCTACTACTCAAGCAGTTTTCAGACGAGACGATGACTTCACCGTACAAGACTTCCATGGAAACTTCAAGACGGTGATAAAGGGAATGATGAACTTTTATCCATCCCTTCTCCACCATAAGGAGATGGCAGAGTCTGAGAGAAGAAGTTTTAAGGGGTATCTGATGGACGGAAAGGACACGCCAATGACCCCGGGTAAATTCTGGCAAAGTGCGTATTTTTTGATGCAGCTCCTGAAAAAATGTCTGAAATTAAACGTAATTGTCATAGTGGACTCCTATGACGCATTATGCAAACCCGCCATGTTCGGTGACGTCGACCTGGTGCAACGACCATATTTAGCCTCGTACTTTATTAATTTTAGTAAGATGTTCAACAAAGATGGTATCACAACTGTTCTGTATTTAGGGTCGTTCAAAACCGTAGAGCTCATGCTACAGAAACCATCTGAAGTTTTGAGACCAAGGCAGACGTCACGCATAATTAAACACACGGCATTTTCTAGCGAAGAACGTGTTGCGAAGTTCTTCGGTTTATCGTCACAGGAGGTTTCGGACGTTTTGGGAAAATATTCGATGCAAGATCACTTCAAACTGGTGGATGACCTCTTGAATGGACACGCAGTGTTAGAATCGCCTCTGACTTTGTTCAATACCAGATCTGTGCTTCTTTACATTGCAAATCGCAATGCTACACTGAAAGCCATCACATCACCATTGACCAACGAGATTCTATGGACTTTTAAAAAAATGTTCGCAAATCTATTCGTCGGTAATGTTGTAATTGAAAGTATATATAAAAATAAAACTGAAGTCCTCATGAGACCTAATGAGGTGTTCAGTTTTACGAGTTTTACCCAATTGCAACTTATAGCAGATAATCGTGAGGGGGATGCAGGTGTTAAAGAGAGCTTCAAATTAGACAATGCTTTTTCATTTATTAGAATTTTGCAGTTTTTAGGTCTAATATCAGCAATCAGTGAAACTCGATTACCTGGCCGACACTCTGTCAATTTAAGGATTTCTAGTCATATTGACGCTGAGCTCATGAATGAATACTTCTATGACGGCGGCTACACCCAAAAATTCTTCAGATATAACAATGTTTACAAAATGGCAATGATCAGGGCCATAGAAGGTCTCGCACCAACAGACGGATCGATCCAATCTCTGGGCAGAGCTATCCACGATATATTCAAAGTGAAAGTTCCTGAGGCTGAATATCAGTTGAAATCTTTGATATACGTGTTTTCAAGAGAGGTTGCAGCTGCTCACAGTCCAAACTTTATAATAGAAGGTAGGATCACAGCCCCCACGATAGAACATTCAAAATTGAATGAAAGTCGTGAATTTAGAATAATGGAGAAGATAGATATCGTATTGATAATGAAAAATAAGGGGATAGGGATCATCATAACATCCAAACTTAATACGAATGCATTGTCAGTTTTAAAAGACATGCATGATCGTAGCTTTGTTGAGGTGTTCAACTCTGATTTGCGCTTTTCAAATCTCAAAATAGAAAATAAGATGCTGGTTGGAGTCTCTGTTTCACAAGATAAATCGGTTGAAATTGCAGCGGATGTTTGGCATAAAAACATAAAATCTAGTTTGAAACGTGTCGAAGTACATCCAGGAAGGCAAATCCCATGATCTGCATTTCAAACATTATCTCAGATTCTACAAAATCTGCCAAAAAGACACATTTGTACTCTCATTTATTTATTTTTTTTTCACACGCGTGTCTTATACCTGGCGAAGGCCTAAACAAGATACGTATGAAAAAAAATTCTGTAATAACTGAGACTTCTTCAGTTTCAAATTTAATTTTTATTTTTGTTTTTTTATCATAAATGTAAGAAGATCCCTGTACTTATCTTTATTGATAAAATGTATTAAGTCATGTTTATAGAAAAGAAACCTCTGAAATTGAACGAAACCAAAAACATGAGATTAAGTCAGATAAGAAATAAAGTGAAGAAAAATAAATTTTGATGACTTGAATAGCCAATAAATTGCACATTCTATACAATACTTTTAAAATTTTTATTTTTCAAACTAGTCACTCGATCCCCTAGAAGGTTATATCAAAATGTTCACTCATTTTTAGGGGAGCGATGAAAGTACTTGGAGCGTATAAAATCCATCCAAGGAGGTAGACAAATCTAGGGCGCCTACATTTTTTCAATGTATGCAGCACAGACAATGATGACGTATGCAAATACTGAAATGCAGAAATCCAACGCGCCTTCATTTTTTTCCGTATGCAACATGGACGTTCCTTGAGGACAAATAGTTGCAGCCCAATTTTGTCATTTAGAAATCCAGTGAGCTTTTACTTATTTTTGTATGTACCCAACTGGACCATCTTTAAAGCTCAAAAAGGAGAGCTGATAAAGATTTGAACCACATTTTCCAACTCTCAAAATATGTATGCCAGACGACTGAGTGTTGGAGCATTTTGAGGTATGTCCCCATTACATAACTGGATCTAGTTACACATACGTGAAATGTCTCGATAATATTCCATAATCATACGTAGTCATCGTCGACATGATAAGGACTTAAAAATGCATCTCTCCACGAAAAACAAAAAAAGCACCGGCACGCTGGGGGTACTGAGAGTGCCTCGCTCTCGTGTGAATCCATTTTTTTAGTGAATTTGTGATTCTGGGCAAGATTTTGACGGTAGTCGTTATATTTTATTAATCATATGTATAAGTTCTTGATGTGATAATCTAACTCATCACTTCCAATAGGGTAAGTAAATCACACGATCATGAAAATGAATACTTCAAAAAGAAGGGTCAAATACTTAATATCTAATCTTGTGTCATGAATGCAAAAAAAAAGTTGGCTTTTTTCAAAGAATAAATAAAAATTGTAGGAAAAATGCAACATTAGCCACCCCTATATGTTGATTGTACCGAAAGAATATAAATCTAACTGCAAAGGTAGGACAGGCAACACTCGGCGATCCACAGAAATTCACAAATAATTTAAGCTTGAAAATCTAAACCTTAAAGGCACTTGAGAGTGTCGCTGTCGATTATGTGGCTTACATTTTGCAGTGAGAAACCACCATCTCTGGCTCTCCCATAAAATCACATATCTGCATGTAGATACCAATGGCATGTATATTGTTTCTAAAATGGGCGAGAAATAGTGGTTCCTTACTGCAAAATATAATCCACTTATTGCTAAAAATTAAAACTGAATATGTGCGCGTAATCACATTATCAGGCATCAAGAATGCGTCCTCGGCTATCTAAAAAATTGAGGACAAAATGTTTAAAGTCAATGATGATTCACCCTCAAGAAACAAAATCAATCTCTTTTCTCTCTTTCTTACAGAAGCTGGACTATATTGTGAAACCACCATGCACCAATGAATGCAAGACTAGAAATGAAGCTGAATATATTGTTTTCGTGCATTTTTGGTATTGGTCCGGCTTCTTTCCTCGCACGTGCAGACTGGGTGGACGAGCAAAAAAAACATGCGGAAACTAATTTGGACGCAAATAATAAGCCTTCCTGGTCACAAGCAGAATATCACACACCAAATGTAAGTAAAAGCCGTAAAAGAGTTTTAGCCCTTTTTAGGACGAGGGAGGTCGAAAAATTGAAAAAAAATGGATGGCGTGATTTGAAGATGATCTCTATGTCTTAATTTATTAAACAACATAATCATTTGAAATTTCGATCAATTTGACTTTGTGCGTGTCAAGCACGAGTGACAAAACATTATCTTTTGAGTTTTCAAAAAGTTTACGCATTTTTTGATCACATGTTTCAGGATCTGTTCCTGGAATTCTCCGAAATTCGAAACAGCAGAGCTTTTATTGACAAGACATTTTTCCTTCACGAATGGCTGACCCACCGGCCAAAACATTGGTATGTGACCGCACCCCCTGGCTTCGGCAAGACCGCATTGGCAAAAATGGCAGTGCAATTTCTAAACGCCTCCGCCGAAATCTTCGATGGCGTAGAAAAGTTTCATGATAGGCACAAGACGGCGGTTTACGAGCTCTTTCAAGGCACCAACATATTTGAAATGAAAGAATTTTTCGACCAGCACTTCCAGAACTATGCTGTCATATACGTCGACTTAGCTCCCTTGAGCAACACGACGGAAGCTATGTATTTGAAACAAGACGATTTCAACACGCAGGACTTCCATATATATTTCAGGTTGGTGATAAAAAAAATGATGAGCTATTACCCATCCCTTCTTTTCCATCAAAGTTTAACGGATATCGAAAGAGAACGCTTCAGAGAATATCTTGAAAACGGAATGGAGACTGCCGTTCGCCCGACTTTATTCTGGAATTGTATTTCATTCTTGAAGGAGATGCTTAAAAAAACCTTGAAGAAGGAGGTCATTGTTATAATAGATTCCTACGACGCATTATGCAAACCTAGTATGGTTGGGGATCTTTCAAAACTACAAAGACCTTACATAGGTTCATACATGATCAACTTCAGTAAGCTGCTACTTCAAGATAGACTGGCAACCGTGCTGTATCTCGGAACGATCAACACTAGAGAATTGATGCTTCTAAAACCCTCTGACGTGGGTATGCAAATGGTAGTTCCGATCACTCATACTCCCTTTTCAACCGATGAACGTCTCGCAAAGTACTTTGGACTATCCAAGCAAGAAGTTGATGATATTTTGTCCAAACATTCAATGGAGGAACATCTCGGAGTAGTTAATGATCTTTTGAACGGACATGCAGTTATTGGGTCATCTCTTACTCTGTTCAATACTAAATACGTGCTTTCGTACATTGAACATAGAAATGCTTCAACCATCGCCTTTACTATGCCTTCCACTGCCGAAATTCTACATCACTACAGAAAAATTTTCTCGGTTGAGTTGATCAGCAATGTTGTGACCCCCTGTGTATACAAGGATAAAACTGAGATGAAGGTCCATCCTTTGGAGATAGTTAGTTTTGCGAGCTTCACAAGACTGACAATTTTGATGGGTAATATGACAGGAGTGCAAAAGGATAGAAGGATAAGTCCTGAAAATATCATGTCATTTATCAAACTCCTCCGGTTTCTGGGTCTCATGTCGGTTATTGATGAGAAAAAAGATGTTTCCAACCTCAGAGCCTCGAGCCGAAGTGATGCTGAGTGTTTGAACACCTACTTATACAGCAGTGGCAGTGTTGAGAAATTCTTCAAAATTAGCGCGCAAGACGAACTGACAATAGTTCGTGCGATGAAAGGTCTTGCAGCAACTGATGATTCAGTACAACTTTTAGGCGAGGCTATTCATAATATTATCAAAGAAAAAGTACCCGAGTCCGAATATCAGTTGAAGTCTTTGTTGTATCTGTATTCAAGGAGGGTTGCAATTCAGTACCCTGAGGACTTCGTAATGGAAGCTGAAATCGCAGCCCCTACGACGAAATATTCAGAATTTCGAGCCGGAGATGAAAGACGAATCGACGTAATTTTGCTCCAAAAGAATAAGGGAATAGGGATTATTCTGACATCTAAATTTGATGTCAATGCAACTTCTGTTTTAAAAGAAATGGTAGATTTTAAATATTCTGAAATACTCGATTCAGATCTCCGCTTTTCAAAGTTCCCGATTCAAGAGAAGATTTTGATCGCAATTTCAGTGACGCGCAATAAATCAGTGGAAATTGCCACGGAGGTTTGGCACAATAACGGAAAAACTGTTTTAAAATATGCAAACATAACATAACGAGAGTCCTGAAACTTAATATTTGCTCCAAAATTGTTAAAAATAATTGTAAAAGATGTATTACCAATTGCACACGTGTGATTTGTATATATATAGGTATATAGCATGAATATATCGAATTTTATATTTTTCTACTTATTTTACTATTTTAACGCATTTCTCTCGTGAGTTTGACTATTGAGCTTAAAATCGGCTGATCACCGACCAGAATATATTTTTAGAGATGGATCGAAATATTTCTCTAAAACATGGTGGGGTGGGTCGATTAACTATTTATGAAAAATGCGACTTCCTGGGTAGTTTACCTTGAAAAACTCTTTCATTGTCTTAAAAATTCCGTCCTTTGAGTTGGAATCTTTTGCGAGAGTTTTAAGGTAAGGTTTTGTAAAATCTGAAGAGATTTCGTCTGAAATTGAGTCTAAAACCACGGAAAAAAATAATAAGCAAAATCTAGCTGATTGACTTTTCAATTCCAATCGATTCAGCCTGCGATTTTTTAATAGGTAACTAAAAATTAATATGCTTAGCACCACCCTAACCATTCATTAGGGGACTTTGAGGGCTTAAAGATCAGTAATGCAAAATCCTGTAGGTTTTTGGCTAGGTAGGCTCTCGGACCATCTTTTTTTGAGCCTCTACATGAATTCATCGATCCAGCATATTAAAGATGAGTACGATGATAACCCCACCCCTTGCTCATTCAGAGGCTGTAGTTTTGAATGGAAAATGAATTGATCTTTGATTTTAAGGAGTTGCTTTACATTGAAATTTTCCAGATTTACTTTTTCTGAGAATATTATCTTGAATTTTTGACATAATTTACAATTTTTACCATTCTGAATAAGGAAACTGAGGAAGCCCCTGCAGATCACATCCCTTCCGAAAGAACCTTAAAACAAGCTCGGCTTATAAGATGCGCTCTAGAAAAACGGACCATTAGACAAGGTACGAATGAATGCATCGTGATACATTTTTTTTGATAGAAATAGCACTTATAACTTGATTTGAGTAACGAAAATATCTTCAATGCACTCTTAAGTAGAGTATTGACGTGTTCAGTTAGCACTGGTCACGGAAAATTTAAATCGCCCGCTCACGAGAACAACAATGCTCTGCGTGAGTCAAATCGCGCACTAAAACGGTTGTGGCAGGCTTCACAATCAAGTGATGCATCTTCCCTACCCTGTATTCTTTAAAGTTTAAACAACGTGAACCGACTAAGCCGAAGTGCCAAAATTGATGTTCCCATATTGTCATGCCGAAGAGATTATTACGCCACCGTTTAGTGCGTGGTTTGACGCACGTAAAGTTGTGTTTCTTCATGAGCGGGAGGTTTGAATTCAGGCATCAAAAAAATGTCTTACTTGGGAGTTAATTTCAGAGATTTGCGTTGTCCAATTCATGGTTTACGTAAAATTTTACGTGGGAGTTATGTATTAGAATGCTTTAAATCGTACGTTATTGTTTAGTAACCCATTGAGAAAAAAATTTTGTACATGAGACACCCTGTATCAAAGATGTATTGATATCATGTCCTTTCTATGAATGGAACGAACAGGAAATCTTATCAGTTAACGTTGAGTTTGTTCATTCTTTCCTGAAAAACTGAAAGTGCAGCGCCTTTCTTGTGGACCTATGCCACGCATTCGTAAACATTCGTTTTATTTAGTGGGCTATTTTTAATTCAAAGCTAAACACTCGTTTACAAGTTATTTAATTCGTTTCACTTTCATATTTCACGATGAACAACTTAATTTTAAGTGGATTCCCAATGTGATTCATTAATTAGAGAAAAAATAGTGCAAAGTGCTAACTTAAAAAAATAAAAGGCTAATTTGGAATATGGAATGTCGGAACTATGACGCGCAAAGCTAAAAGGCATAGTTTTCATTGTTGAATTTACATTATAGATCGATGTCAAATCAACTACAATTTTGATTATCCAGCCTTTATAAAATATTTAGGTAACTAGTGTTCACCTCATTGAAACCTAACCTTAATAAACGTGTTTAATCGATGAACATTTTAATTCATACACTCTAATCCTAGAGCTAAAATCAACATCTTGTGACAAACTCGTGACACACGTTTTGATCCCTATAATCGACAGCGATTCTCTGTAATTTTTACCGTATCTACTCTATTTGTTTTGAAAACGAAGATGACAATCAGGATAGTCATGAAACGAATGGCACTAGTCTTAAACATGTTTATGATTGGCGGACTCTCCTCTCACGCAGGTGCAAACTGGGCAGAGAGGCATAAACAACATTTAGTGGGTAGTTGGGCAGAAAAGAATGGAAGATTACAGGAGCCAGTCTGGCCATGGAAAGGAGCTACTAACAGCAAAACCGAGCCAAGTTCATCCTCCAAGTCTCACACAACGGACGAAATTGAAAGTCAAATGAAGCATCAGTCTCAGGTTGAGTACCTATTTCTTAGTTGTCATTGCATTTAAGTTTTGAACTTCCTTAAAATCGATCTATAGCCATAGAATATTCCATATAGAGAGCAACATGTCTATTGCACACGTGAGATACAGCCAACTTAATTTATCTTTTTAAGTAAATTCCAAAAAATAAGTCAATCATATGGCACACGGATGAAATAGTCATGTGTCTCATTAACAGCACCACTTAGTAACTTTCAATTCGATTTGCTTTTTCCTTCTTTAACTAAACTTTAAATAAGTATGTGTACTGCTTTTAAAGATAACCTTCAGATGGCTAAAATATCATGTAAAATTTGAAGAACATAAAACGGTCGAATTTTCTTCAAAAAATTTTTTTAAAAAAATTGGCGGAAAAATTTTAACTTTATGAATGGGATACAAGATAATCGAGTTTCACCATTGCCATGCTGAACGATGGAAGTTTTGAGTATTGTCTTAAGCCTCCAAAGTAATTTGATTGTATATGTATGCCACGGATGGAAATGCAACGATAAAAGCACTTTGATTTGGTACCGACATCGGCTGGAAATTATTACTTAAACGATTTCAAAGAACAATGCGTGCAGTAATGAAGCTGAAATTTAGATATTCACGCACATAAAAGAGGAAAAAAGTGTCATCCGTTCATGTGACAATACGCAAAGCACTTACCATATTTTCATTATTCTTGCAAAGTTGGAAAGTCAATGTGCACATACTGTCCTCTTACAAGGGAAAGAAAAATTGAAAAATCATTACCCGGTGCGCAACGCTCAAAAGGGCGTAAGTTACAATTTCAACTTTTTGGGTGTTGCGCACCGAGAAAATTTTTTTTCAATTTCCCCCCCTTTGCAGGGATAATTTGGTTAGCTGCAAACCACAAATTAAGCTTAGGTCTATCTTAAAAAATCATTTTTCAAAATTTACCTATACTCTAACCGCAGGGTTGCTTTTTACCACCGAAATTTGAGAATCGTCAAAATTCTATAAATCTATTTAATTGAACTTTTCCAGGGTCTTTTTCCATCAAGCTCAGACTTCTCCGAAATCCGACACAGCAAAGCCTTTGCAGACAAGACGGCATTCCTCTACGAATGGTTAACGCACCGACCTAAACAATGGTACGTGACCGCACCCCCCGGCTTCGGCAAGTCCACCCTAGGGACTATGGCCGTCCAGTTTCTGAATGCCTCCGTCGAAATTGTCAATGGTGTCGAAATGTTCCACGACAAGCAAAAAACTGCTGCATACGAGCTATTCCAAGGCTTGGAAATCTTCGAGATGAAAGAGTTCGTCGACAAGCACTTCCAGAACTACGCGGTTGTTTACCTAGACTTGGCTCCCTTAAGTAATACCACGGAGGCTACCTTTAAAATCGACGAAGACTTCCTATCACAGGACTTTCACAAGTACCTCAAAATGGTGATAAGAAAAATGATGAGCTATTATCCAACCCTTCACCTCCATCACAACTTGACGCCCGTGGAAAGAGCTACCCTCGAATGGTACCTTGGGGAGATGAAAACTGAGGTAACCCCCGTAAAATTTTGGAAAAGTGCATCAACGCTGGCGCGACTACTCAGAAAATGTTTTAAAAAAGACGTCATTGTTGTAGTGGACTCTTACGACTCACTGTGCAAACCGAATATACTTGGGGATCTAACCAAAATAGCAGGACCATATGTAGCTTCATACATCATTAATTTCAGTAAGATGATAATCCAAGACGGGCAGTCAAGAGTTCTTTACTTAGGGACATTTAAGACGATAGAGCTAATGCTGCAAAAACCATCTGACCTACGCTTGCAGAAAAAAACCATGTATACTATTGAACATACGGATTTTTATAGTGACGAACGCATCGCGAAGTATTTCGGGCTGTCTAGACGAGAAGTTACCGATATTTTGGCGAGGTATTCAATGCTGGATCATTTCAGCGTGGTGGATGACCTATTAGACGGACACGCAGTTCTGAAGTCACCTTTGACTCTTTTCAACACGAAAGCTGTATTATCCTACATTGAAAATAAGAATGCTACACCGAGCGCTGTAACTTCACCGTATACCGCTGAGATCCTGAGTAAATATGGAAAACTGTTCCTCAATAAATGGATCAGTGATAAGACTACTCAGTGTATATTCAAAAATAAAACTGAAGTCATGTTTCCTCATACGGTAATGCTAAATTTTGCAAATTTTGCAAGAATGAAACAGTTACTCAACAATAATACACTTGCCGTTTTTAAGCAAACGCTGATGTTAGACGAGACCTTATCGTTCATCCATATTCTACAATTCCTTGGTTTGATTTCGACTATTGACGTAAGGGGTGATCTTAGCGATTTTAGAGTTTCAAGTCGTAGTGATGCTGAGCTCATGAGTGGATATCTGTGTAATAGTGGGAACGTGCAAGAATTCTTTAAAGTTAGCGCAGAAGACGAAATTGGAATGATTCGTGCACTAAAAAGTATCGCACCAGATAATGATTCAATGCAGAATTTGGGTGAAGCCGTCCATAAGATCGTCAGAGTAAAAGCCCCTGAGGAGGAGTATCAGTTGAAATCTTTGATGGATGTATATTCAAGGAAAGTTGCAATTTATAACAGTGAGGAATTCGGTATCGAAGCTGGTGTTACAGTCCCTGGTGCAGAGCATTTAAACGTAGAAAAAAGTGGTGAGCTTGGATCTCGGGAGAGGATAGACATTATTTTCATCAAGAAAAAAGAGGGAAGAGGAATTATTTTAAAATCTAGACTTGACATAAGTGCAACCTCTGTTTTAAAGGAAATGATAGATAACGAGTACTTAAAAATTTTTGACTCGGATCCTCGCTTTTCAAAGCTCAATATTAAAGAGAAAACTTTAATTGGGATTTCCGTGTCGCAAAATAAATCAGTGGAAATTGCAGCAGAAGTGTGGCACGAGAACGAAAGGACGAGTTTAAAACATGTAGTATTAAATAATTAATAAACAGTCGTTTTCTGTGATTTAGACATTAAGTTCACCATGGTTCTTCCACAAATGACTATTAAATGTATTTTCCTGTATTTGAATATTTATTCAGTTTTCGTATGTCTCAGCAACTGAGCTCCCATCCATCTAGAGGCATAAATTGTAAAGACCAAGGACTAATGGTTGCTGCGACAGCTCAGTCCTTAGCGTTACCATTCATAAAATCATGCACATCTAAATTATAACTAATCTTACTACTCTATAGATAAAATCAGATGAGTAGGTAAGGCTTATTCCATAGCGACGCTTCGACGAGTTGGGCCGCGAAGCGGTAAGGGGTCGCGGTCCCCTAGTAACGTTAGAAATATAGGCAAAAAGTTAATGAGTAGTTATTACATAAAAGCAGATAAAAATTGATTGACATTGAAACTTTTTCCTCAAGAGGGGACGGAAAATTTGTTTCGATCATGATCGATAAAATTGCAGAATCTTGGAGGGATTTATGATAGTAATTATTACCAAATTCTGACAGGATTAGGTTTATTATTACTTCCATAAGTTCGTGCCTTGTGTGTTTGAATGGCGTTGTGAAACAAAAAGTGTCAGTAAGGTACCCCATGAGCTCTCTTTGTTTTTCTGTCACGATTTCAAACGCCGCACCTCAACTCCGAATGCAGCTTTTTATTTAGTTCATTTTTTATTTTTTTATAAAAAATATTTATGGCCAGGTATATGTATGCTCTCTGGAATCGGATACAACGCATTTATTTATCTTTACATATAAATTGGACTGCATTTTGCAATTTGGAACTATAAATTCTGCCTCGCCTGAAAAAACACTTATGTGCATAGGGAAACTAATGACACATACGTTGATTTTTAACCGGGCCAGAATTTATAGCTCCAAATTGCAAAATACAGTCCAATTTATGTATCTAGAAAAATAAAAATGGTGAACTTTTTAATGCTGCTTTTGCAACTTTCAATAAAGTTATACCTGGTGGTAGAGATTTGAATGACCTTTTCGAGTGAAATAATGCAAAAGGTGTTACCTTTTTCCCTCTGAGACGCCGACGTTTTAATTCTGCCCTATATCTTGACGAATTGGAATTTTCGGCACTTCCCCCGAACTTAGCACTAAAAAGCACATCAAGTTACGGCTGACTATATGACGTCACTACATATTTGCAAGGCTATGTCATTAGATATGACCTTGCCCCTGTTACAAACAGATTTTTTCTTATCACACTCAAAAGTGTCACACTCAAATTAAGTTGCATCAATTGAAAGTGAGTTGATAAGAAATTAAAGCTTTGTTATTATACGGAAACTACAGCACTTCCAAAATATGCCGAGACAGAGAATAAGCTGCTTTTTACTGGGCACTTCCATTACGTTCATGGGGATTTCTGATCAAAATCTACATCCAAAATCGTAAGTAAATACATAAATACTAAATATAGTGAATTTTTTTTTTGTGTGTGGCATCTGAATGAAATACTGAAAGTCATAAATGTATACCAAGAAAATCAATCATGGATGAAGAATCCTTGAAACTGGTTCGATAAAATATCAAAATAACAACCTCATACTACGTATCTCGGATGCTCAAAATAAAAACGGCCCCCTCTCTGCCATTTACTTCCTATCAAGATACAAAATTTAATGCAATTATGGTCTGCTTAACTACATATATTAGCACCATCACGGTAGCGCGTTCATATTGCAACGTAAGAACCTAACCTCTAAATTGCTTTCCATGCTCCATGTTATCATTTTATTGATTTCTTTATGGAAATGACTTCCAAATTGTTTCTTGATATCACATTTCTCACATAATAACAGTAATAAATTATTACGTCCTGCTTAAGAGAAGTACACGTGGATACGTCACCAATCTTTTACTGGTCATAATTTTGAAAAAAAATCTGCCAGTCTCTATCGCATATTTATGAATAAAGTAGAAAAGAACAAAATTCCATGAAGATGTATTAGAATTCCCGCAATATTTAAATATTTTATTGTAAATATTTGTTTCGGATAACTAAAGAGCTGGCCATACTAAAATTCTTGCAATTTGCTCTCAACACCTCGAAAAAAATTTCAGAAAATTTTTAGACACCATGTCTAATAAAAAATAAAAGTGAACGGAAATTCGAGATGTTTTATCGCTGGTAATAGTAAAGTCTATGTAATATCGGTCCGCTACCCTGGTAAAAATTTCCAGTAGAATCTGTGTTCCAAAATACCATAGACCTAAAGCCAGCTATAAGATTTTCAATAGCTTCTATAGTCGGATGCACAATTTCTTATAGCTGATGGCAACCAAGCAACAGCCAGGCGATAAAGTGTATGCTAAATGTTACTAATAACGGATGCTAGGACCTATTGAATTTTTGGATTACCGCTCTATTTCGGGCCGTAGTATCTTGATTTATTTTGAGCGGGAAGCTGCATACTTTTGAGGGATGCCTGCCATTCCTAATATGTTGGAGCGCCTTCAATTTCGTATGATACTGTGCAATACCTCTGGTGTGAAATAGTTGCTTCAAGCGCCGTGGCACGCTGCGGCTCGGCGGGCGGGTAGCCAGCGCGAAAAGCGCATCAGCGCCTACAAACCTAAGAGGGATACTTCAAGCATTGCGCAATGCGTGAAGTATCCATGTTAGGTTTGTAGGCGCTAGTGCGTGCTTAACTCTGGCAGCACGCCGCTCCGCTCTGTGTTAGGCTCCAATATATAATCTCGCGGATTCAGCGTTTTTCAACCCATGATTTTAAAATGTTTGCACATCCTGTATGGATTATTCTCATTTTAATTGATGAAAAAAAATACGTATTAATGGAAAATATAATGTGTGTTTTGTAAATATTATGGTGGTTCCGTATCAAACTGAATGATTTCCAAAGCGCACGAATTTCTACACAATGTCTTATAGCCTTTTATAGCCGATGGCGATAAAGTGTAAAGCCCGGCGATGGGAGCTATAGCTCGACTGTATATTTTTTTCATCGCTTCGTATAGCCCGGCTATATGATTTGCTCCGCTTTCTACAGCCAGCTATACGATTTTCTATTGCCTTCTTTAGCCGGCTGTAAGAATTCCTATGGTATTTTGAAACGCAGCTCCTATCGCCAATTTTTACCAGGGTAGTACAGTGAACCAGAGGTGCGTTCCTTTTAACGCTAGCCATTGATGCAGTGTTTTCGTAAATAAAAAATCAAAGACATCACGTGGCATGACAGTTACTTGAAAAACAATATGAGATGGAATGCGCAATATGGTGTGTAAATTTCTGCCACATAATATGATTTTCATGGCATACTTGATATGCAGTTTAGTATTTTTTCATATGTATCGACTAATTTTTTCCCACTTTGTTTTACTTGCACCATTGAATCACTCATCTATTTTTTTACTTTGTCCCAGCAGTCCGATCACGTTTTAGAATGACTGCTATATTGAAATTGAAGCAACTGACGCTATTTTCTTCCGTTATCCTGGTTTGCCAACTTTATGATGTCGTGCACGCAGACTTGGCAGAGGAACAACGAAATCACACTGCAGAAAAGACAGATTCAAGTTCTGTTTCAAATCCTCAAAAGTCGGATGAGAGAAAAAGTCCAACGAAGCAACACCCCCAGGTTCTATTAATTTGCTTCCTATACTTGTTTTCTTTTTCTAAAACGGAGATGTTGCAAGTAGCCATAAGTTAGATGTCAAATTTTGTTCTTCAAACTATTTTCTAATAATTCAACTTGGTTTGATAAGATTGCTGCCCACTTGGCTACATTTTGCAGCCTTTTAGATGAGATAAACTTCAACTTTTTCATCTAATCCTTTAGCAAAATAGCAAAATGTTTATGGGTTTTACCTAAATCTAGCAAAGTTTCAAAAAAAAAAAACATCTTGCCGATTTTAGAACACAAATGTTTTTTTCAACAGTAATATTTTTCCAAAATTTCTTATGGCCGTAGGTGGTTCAGTAATATGCAGTCAGCAATGGATTCCTGACCACGAATTGCAGTTTTTTACGTGTAAATTTCAACCTTAATCAAATCAATTTTTCAGGGTCTTGTCTCATCAAGTTCAATCTTTTCCGAAATCCGACATAGTCCAGCCTTCGTGGATAAAACATTTTTCCTCCACGAATGGCTCATGCATCGACCGAAATACTGGTACGTGACAGCACCCCCTGGTTTTGGCAAGTCCACCCTTGCGACAATGGCCGTCCAATTTTTGAATGCGTCCTATGAAATTGTCAACGGAACGACAAGGTACAACGACAAGCACAAGACTCCGGCATACGAACTCTTCCGAGACACAAATATCTTCGAAATGAGAGAGTTCTGCGACGAGCACTTCCAAAACCACGCTGTCATATTCTTGGACCTCGCTCCATTAAGTACCACTACTCAGGCTACTTTCAAGAAAGCAGAGAACTTCAACTCACAGGACTTCCACAAGAACTTTAAAATAGTGATCAAGAAAATGATGAACTATTATCCATCTCTCCTCCATCATAAGGAAATGACGGACTCTGAAAGGAAAAGCTTTGAGAGGTACCTGGAAGAAGGAATAGACGCTCCAGTTGGCCCAGGTAAATTCTGGCAGAGTGCATTCTTTCTGATGCAGCTCCTGAGGAAATGCGTGAAAAAAAATGTGGTTGTTATAGTCGACTCTTACGATGCCTTATGCATACCCTCCATGTTCGGTGAAACATCTTTGGTGCACAGACCATACTTAGCTTCGTACATCATTAATTTCAGTAGGTTTTTATTAAAAGACGAAATCTCAACCGTTCTGTACTTAGGGTCGTTCAACACGGTGGAACTAATGCTGAGAAAACCATCCGAACTATTGAGACTAACACCAACATCACACACGATTGTGCATACAAAATTCTTCAGCACAGAACGCGTTGCTAAATACTTCGGGCTATCGGCACAAGAAGTTATGCAGGTACTGGAAAATTTCTCTATGCAAGACCACTTTACTTCAGTAGACAACCTGCTGAATGGACACGCTGTTTTAGAGTCACCCCTTACTTTGTTCAACACTAGATCTGTGCTTTTGTACGTTGCAAATCGAAATACTACACCCAGCGCTGTTACATTGCCACTGACCTCCGAAATCATCCACAAGTATAGAAAAGTTTTCGCTTTGCAGTTTGTTGGTAATGTTGTAAATGAGATTATTTTTAAAGGTTCTTCTGAGGTAACACTTAAACCTCCGAAGCAATTGAGTTTTACTAGTTTTACGAGACTGAAAATTTTAGCGATCGACTCTACAACGACTGACAACAAACAGATCATTACGTTAGAAAACTCATTGTCCTTCATCAAAATTCTGCAGTTTCTAGGTGTGCTGTCAGTCATCCATGAAAGCCGCGTATCTGATCGACATGCCATCAATTTACGGGCCTCCAGTTACATTGACACTGAGCTTATGAATGAACACTTTTACCATGGTGGATACACACAAAAATTCTTCAACATAAGCGCTGAGAATGATTTGGCGATGATGAGTTCTATAGAAAAACTCGCACCAACAAACGAGTCGATCCAGTTTTTAGCTGAAGCCATTCGTAATATCGTTAGAGAAAAAGTTCCTGAGACTGAATCCCAGCTAAAAGCTTTAATTTACGTGTTTTCAAGAAAGACCGCAACTCAACACGGTGTCAACTTCACGCTAGAATCAAGAGTTGCGATCCCTACCGCGGAAAATCCAAAATCAAACGAAAGTGGTAAACTGAGACCGAAGAGTAGGGTGGACATAATTTTGCTCATGAAAAATGAGGGAATAGGCATTATTATGACATCCAAGTTTAATACAAATGCAACCTCTGTTTTAAAAGAAATGAGCGACAAAAGATATTTTGACATATTTGATACGGATGGCCATTTTTCAAATCTTACGATAAAGGATAAGATGCTTATTGGAATTTCTGTGTCACGGGATAAATCGGTGGAACTTGCAGCAGAAGTTTGGTGCCAGGACGAAAAAACCAGTTTAAAACACGTCTTATTGAATAACGCAAGTCTCCTGTGATGCACACCTTAAATATGAATCTCTTTCGATAAGTATTTTCAAAAGACACATTTCCTTCCATTGATATTTTTGGTATTACTTATTTCCATGCCTTCAACCATTTAATCTCGCACAGATAAAGGTCTTAGTAAAATGACAGTGAAAAAAAATATACAAACATTTTAGTTCCACTACTTTTCAATAAAGTTTATAAAAATTGTTATGCGTTTTGTCCATTATGACTTCTGAGGTTAGGAAACCCGCCACATCTCGTCGGCCATCAAACAGATCAACTTCAAATTTTCTCTAATGACGCTTAGGCATATAAACATAGTTTTAAGGGCAACAAAATGTCCACGGTCTGAATGTTTTTCATTCGTTCAAATGTCAACCAAACTAAAAAAAATTGAGATTTGGAAAACTTTCACAAATTTTTTGTTTACGAAAATATGGTCTGATCACCTTGAATTTTTTAATTAAGAGCCTACGCTATCTAGTGTAAATTCAGTCGAATTTCGGCTAACTTTGGTTGAAAACGTAGAAGATATGAAAGAAACGGTAAACATAATGAAAATCGCCCGAAAAAGGTTACTTGGGGAGAGGCCGAAGGTGGGGTGAGACGAGTGCGGTTAGCTAACCAAAACGGGCCAAAATCTTAGTTTTAGGACCTCTTCGAATACTTGAGAAGGTTAAAATCAAAATCCATGAATTGGGGCATTTTGACATGCTTACCCTAGGGTACCCTTTGGAAAAATGTTTCTTGATGCTCCTATTGGATAAAATAACAAGATACCAAAATTTTAAAAAAAATCAGGGTTAGTCGAGTGACAGTTCCCGGATGGTTTCGATTGTTGAGGTGAGACATTTTGTCCGGTATTTTTGTAACCTTCAAAGCCCTCCTGGGCCTGGGGCCGAGTGGCTGAGTGCCCCAGCTCCGATCTTTCGAAGCTCGGTTTTCTAAATATTTTTGCCACATTTAGAGACGTGCTGTGGATGAAAGCAACAGCTTTCGGTCTTGCAGTCCTCAGTATTTGGAATGAGGATGAAAAGTTCTATCCATTTTTAAAAATGCATCCTTTTCCAAGTGGGACACCAAAATGACGCCGACCTCCAAGCCAGTTAAGTCTGAACCAGCGAAAAAACGAAAAAATTACGAGAGCATTTGCGAATTAGGCAAGCGGGTTCCATTGAGGTTTTTCCGACTAAATGCAAGTCAATACATCATAAATGTTCGATGAGCAATTAGAAGACCCAACGAGGTAGTATCAATATGCTCAATGTTATTTATACAAATAGTTTAACTCTCATGTGGGTGGTGAAGTGTCACTCGAAACTGAAGGCGTTTTTGACTGGTGACAACAGAATACCGTTAACTCAGAACAAGTCCATTTAAGAACAAATCAAACAATTTATCGCGCCTACAGTTTTTAATGTATGCAATATGCATATCCCTCAAGGATGAATAGTTGCACCTAGGCTTTATGATAGGCTATTTATTAATAGTTACATCTAGTCACAGGGACATCAGTCTCTCCATTTACTCTCTCATTTGTAGTGGGTATTTGACGCGGGTATTTGCCGAGCACAACAGCTGTGTTTACGGAATCCGATCGGAATTTACTCAAGTAAAAAATACGTGTCTTAAGCGAACAAACTTTTGGCGAAAGTAAAATGTTGAGAACTGCTTCTGCTGTATAATTGCCTCTAAAAACAAATTCATTTAAACGTTGACATGCGAAAAACATTTGAGGTGTCGTCAGCTAAGTTGGCACTCTTTTACATCCATCCTGTAAGCGATCACGATGCAATCGACCAATGGCGATCGAGGATTGACCGTGGCCTAATCGTGAGCGTGATCAATCCTTGATCCCTATTGGACGAAATGCTTGCCCCGTTGCTTGCAGACGACATGTAAATAAGTGTCAACTCAGCTGACGACACATCTTGACATGTGGCTCGAACTGTGATTAACATGTGCGGTGGTAGAGAAGAGCTGTGTCCATAATATTTTGCGGGGAAATCAAGACCGAAAAATTCCAAAAATTTTCATAAGATTCAACAATTTTACCTCGAATCAATATCAGCGCTCCCCCCTTAGTCTTACTCTTATATTTATTAGAGTTCAAATGTGGAATCTAATGAAAATTATCGGCCTTTTTCCCCCGCAGAACAGTTTGGACTCAGCACTATTCTACCATCCTGTTAAAACATTGGTTTAATTCCTTAACCCTTAGAGGACTGACCGTTTTTACCTACACGAAAGACTAACCCGGGCCTGCGAGGCCCGTATTGAGAATATATGGTAATTTGATGGCTACAATGCTTTTTTTCTCTATTTTTGGATGAATTTCATGATTTTCATACTTTGACTTCTATAACCAAGGTCCCAAATTTGTTGTTTCACCCATTGGCTGCCCCCCCCCCCAGCCCCCCTAAACATCCCTCTCCACTCCCCAGTCCCTTCAGATCTATGAGTCTTTCATTGTAAACACAAATGTATATCTTTTTTCAGGATTTGAGGAAGTCAAATTGAAGGAGCATTATTACCCCTATAAGTAGGTATACTTGAATTTGAGAAGGAGAGGGCAACCTTGCCCACCCTCCCCCTCCTTCCGGTAGCCAAAAAAAGTAGTACTTCCCGATGTGTTTCTTTCAAAGTCATCAAATTACCATATATTCTCAATACGGGCCTCGCAGGCCCGGGTTAGTCTTTCTAGGGGTAGAAATGAAAAAAAAATTGCTGTGCCTTAAAAAAAAATTAATTTTTTTTTTGTTTCAAGAATAATGTTTTTAAGGATATTCGTAGAGCTTTTTGTGAAGGACAGTCTCCTAGGTCAATTACAGCCGGCGTTGCGCGAAAAATAAAAAGCCGCCGGGCCTGAGAGATCCGGTTAGTCATCTAAGGGTTAATCATATACGTCGAGCAGACAAAAAACCTTATCAGTAACCACTGACTAGATAAGATTTCATAGATTTGTTTAGAGTAAAACAAAAATGCGTGTGCCTTTTCATTGTACCAAAGTTGAGTTTTGTCATATTTTGTGATGTGAAAATATTCAGAACGTATCCCACACATATTAGCTGTAATAATTGCGCAACCCTAAAGAGATATACCCTCCTTGAGATTGATAGATTCTGCATTGCTCAGAAAGAAGAGCAAGTAGCTCATTTGTCAAGATGCTTTCCGATTTTTCACTAAATTTTATGAGGTGCATTTTCGTGCTATTCCAGTGAAAGGAAAACAAATACGGAAAAACACTTTGGCATGCAATATGTTGACAGTATTACCCACCTTTCTTACATTTTTAACTCCACTTCTATTTTTTTTGGTTGTGAATGAACTTATTTTTAGAATTGAGGACTGCAAGAGAAGACATGAAGTTGTTGACGACACTTTGGTCGGTTTTTTTGATCGGCCTATCCTTTTCTTTCGCTCTCGCAGAATGGCCGAACGAGGAAGCAAAGAAATTAGCAACTAGTTTGGACGCATCAAATAATGATAAGTTGCAGGAGTCAATCTGGCCACGAGCAGATGCGAAAGGGACAGAAAAACATACGGATTCAAAACCTTACACGTCGAACGGAAGTGAATTTCGAATGAAGCATCATTCACCGGTTAAGTACCTTTTTGTTTTTATTGACTATTCCTTTACCTGAGACCAGTATAATGCATCTTACGGGAGCTTTTTCAAAAGAGCAAAATAATTTGTTTATGATAAACACGCTCAAGCGGTAACCTTTCAGTCAACTTAATTTCACCTACTTTTTAGCTATATTTGTTAGAATACCCCACTTTCATTCATGAACCTTCCATTGCCATCAATAATGACTTTTCAAAGACTATGCAATCACTAATTTTTCTTGTTAAATGTGAACAAACATACTGAGTTTTTACGGTTAGAAATACCGACACATTCAGAGGCAACATAATTTGTGAGCTTTTTTGAGCTTTGGGGTTTTTCTAGAGAAACCCAGTGGCATAGTCGTATTTCTCACGAAATTTTACATGGTAATCAGTACTTAAATCGCAAATACCTCACACATGCAAGAGCTTTATCTTGATGAATATTTGACTATCCTTATCTTATTTTCAGGGCCTCGTCCCATCAAGCTCAGAGTTCTCCACTATCCGGAACAGCAGAGCTTTCGTCGACAAGACACTTTTCCTCCACGAGTGGCTGACCCACCGGCCAAAGCACTGGTATGTGACCGCACCCCCTGGTTTCGGCAAGTCAGCCCTGGCGAAAATGGCTGTCCAGTTCTTGAACGCCTCTTTCAGCATTTTCAATGGAGTAGAGAGGTATCACGAAAAACACAAGACCGTTGCGTATGAACTATTTAAAGGCACCAACATCTTTGAAATGAAAGAATTTTTCAACAAACACTTCCAGAACTATTCTGTTATATACGTTGATTTGGCCCCTTTAAGCAACACCTCGGAAGGTACCTTTCGGAAAGATGACGATTTTTGTTCGCAAGACATCCACAAGTACTTCAAGATGGTAATAAAGAATATGATGAGCTATTATCCATCCCTCCTCGCCCATCAAAACTTAACATATCCGCAGAGAAAAAGCTTAAGAGAGTATCTTGAAGAAGGAATGGAGACTAGGGCGCGTCCGGCTTTATTCTGGAATAGTGTGTCATTCTTGAGAAACCTTCTCAAGAAATGCCTAAAGAAGGATGTCATCGTGATCATAGATTCATATGACGCATTATGCAAACCTAGTGCGATCGGGGAATTTGAAAAAGTATTAAGACCCTACTTAGCCTCGTACATCATCAATTTCAATAAAATGATAGTGCAAAGCATACCGACAAGAACACTTTATTTCGGAACGTTTAACACCGTTGAACTGATGCTTATGAAACCGTATAATTTAACTAATCCAAAACCGGCAGATAGAATCAAGCATACGGCTTTCTCAACCGAGGAGCGAATTGCGAAGTATTTTGGACTCTCCCAGCGAGAAGTTACTGACATTTTGACGAAGTATTCAATGGAAGATCATCTCCAAATAGTTAATAACCTCTTGAATGGGCATGCAGTTTTACGAACACCCCTCACTCTGTTCAACACGAAACATGTCTTTTCATACATCGAGAATAGAAATTCCTCACCCAGTGCCTTTTTTATGCCTTTCACTGACGAGATTCTTCATCACTATGAAAAACTCTTCACGAGTGATTGGCTCTGCAATGTTGTGACTAAGTGTATATACAAGGATAAAACCGAAATCATGCTGTCACCTAGGCTAAGGATCAGTTTTGCGACCTTCCGAAGACTGACTGCTTCGAAAGATAATATCACAGGGTCCCACGGTAGGGAAAATCTTAGTATAGAAAGAACCACTTCATTCATCAAAATTCTGCAATTTTTAGGTCTAATATCGGCTGTGCGTGACACGAACAATGTCTACGATTTTAGAGCCTCTAGTCAAAGTGATGCTGAGCTTTTGAGTAAATACTTGTACAGAAGTAATAGTATACAGAAACTTTTTAGAGTTAGCGCAGAGGATGAACTTGCAATGATTCGTGCATTTAAAGGCCTCTCGCCAAATAATGATTCAGTACAGTGTATGGGCGAAGCTATCAAGAACATTCTCACGGTAAAATTTCCTGACGCCGAATATCAACTAAAATTTTTGGTTTACGCATATGCAAGGAAGGTTGCTGCTAGGTACAATGAGGATTTTGCAATGGAGGCGGGCATTGTGGCCCCAACGATAAACAATTCAGTGTTGCAGGGGAGTTACAAACCTAGCGAGAGGATAGACTTAATTTTGGTCCAAAAGAAAATAGGGGTGGGGGTTATTCTGACATCTAAATTTGATGCCAATGTGACGGCTGCTTTAAAAGAAATGAGTGACCGCAGATACTTTGAAATACTCGATTCAGATCCTTGCTTTTCACGGTTCAAAATCAAAGATAAGATGCTGATAGGCATTTCTGTGTCGCGGAATAAATCTGTAGAAATTGCAGCGGAAGTGTGGAGCCGAAACGAAAAAACCAGTTTGCAACACGTTATATTGAATATTGCGAGTCAGTGAAGCCCGTACTTTGAGATTTAATCCCTCCAAGCGTTTATAAAACCTATGTCAAAAAATAAATTTTTATTTTAACATTTGATTTTTACATTTGGGATAAATATATATTTGATTTTATATTTTTTTTATATATTTGACTTTTTTCCGTATATTTTCTTTTATGAAAATGTAAGTTTTAGGTATCTTTAATTTAAATAAAAACATAACTCTCTTCCACGGAGAAAGAAACTTCGTGCGTGGGACCCGGAGTTGAGGTCATATGGATCTCTGAAGTTTTCGGATCAGGTATCTAAAAAATTGAGGTCCAGCTGCCGAAGTTCGGGTCAGACATCTGAAGTACTTCGATGTATACCGAAGAGTTCGGGTCACATCTGAGGTACTCCGGTACATACTGAAGTAACTCGATGTCTGACCCGAACTTCGGCAGTTGGGCCTCAAGTTTTCGAATGCGTGATTAGAAAACTTCTGAGATCCATATGACCTCAACTTCGTGTCCCATGCACGAAGTTTTTTTTTTTTTTTTTTCGTGTACTGAATACGTCATTACTGAATCATTGCACCTAATTATGAGCGTAATAAGTTCCGAATTATTCCGATCCGAAACAACGAAGGAAACCGAAGCGTGAATTGAGTTTGGCTGAAGCCATCAATTTGGCATTAGTTGATACAAACGCACAGACTTATGAATAGAGAGGAAATCAACCCCCAAAAAATACTTCTTCAAGAGTTCCCGAGCTGCTCAAATTCCTTAATTTAGATTCAGGTCCGTTAGTTCTTCGCAAATTAGTCTGTTAAAAACTAGAGGAAGCAATATTTCCATGTTCTGCACCTTGCCCCAGTCAAGAGCATGCATTTAAGTTGCTAATCACATACGACCTAATTACGAGTTGAATGAACATGACAACACTTCACTTACCTTTGAATTGATAAAACATTAAAAGTTGGTTAGTGAGAGACGAAAAGTGTGCAGGGAGAGGGATCATTCGGTACCTCTTTTCACGTCCGCGTTTTTTGATCCAAAGGCGCTTGTATGATCGTAAGTACTTGAACAATAATTTCAATACCCGAACTATCTTTCTACGACAGGCTGAAAGTCATTATTGTTTCGTGCATATATCATTTTTCATAAAATATAAAAATCACAGAAAAAATGGACCCAGGTATATAGGCAATACGCTGATCCAGTGTTTAGAATGTTAAAAACGTAACTGTCGACGCTCAAATCCAAAAGTGACTAATTCCACTTTTGAATTAACATTCGGAGATGAAATACTAATCTCAAAGCTATTATAATAACAATTTAGAATCACTGAATGTGATAATAATAGGTAGCATTACGCGCAAACTGGTAACGTTATGTTTTTTTCGATTCGAGTGCACGATCAATCGATTCTAAGTGAGGCAAGTTATGTTTTTCTCGATTCGAGTACACACTGATAAATCGATTCTAAGTGAGGCAGATTGCTTTAACGATGGAATCGATATTAAACTTAAACGGAGAAACAGCTATGATGCCATCATGCAAGAATTTTCACTAATATTATTTGATTAACTGATGACTAGGCACTGAAACTGAGCCTCAGTGACATGTTACAGCAATGGAACTCTTGATTTTTATATTTCAGGCGCTTCTATTTTAAAACTTGTTGTGTTATATTATCATAGCAAATACACTGAAATATTGAGCGAGTCGTAC